TGACTCTTTTTTTTTTTCAAAACTTTTTTTTTGTCTGAAATTTTTTTCCGGTAGCTCAATCGCAGGCTCTCCGGCTGTATTTTTTTTTTTAATTTTGTTTTTTTTTTCTAAAAAAAACTATTTTAACTAATATTAATGTATTGGCTGTTAAATTAGTGTCTCTAACAGTTATTTAACTGTCGGAGAGTGTAATTTAATATTAATTAACCTTTTATTTTCTTAAAAAAAATATACTAATTAATATTACTATCTTGACTGCTAAATTCCTGTGTTCACAGTTATTTAACTGTCGGAGACAGTAATTTAACTGTAATTGATTTTTTTTTTCTTAAAAAAAATATTTTAATTAATATTACTGTTTTGGCTGCTAAATTATTGTCTTCAACATTTATTTAACTGTCGGATACAATAATTTAACTGTTAATTGACTTTCTTTTTTGAAATTTTGTTTTTCTTAAAAAAAATATTTTAATTAATATTAGTGTCTTGGCTCAAAATTACTGCCTCCAACAGTAAATTAACTGTCTGAGACAATAATACTACTGTATTAATTAATTTTATCGTCTTGGCCTGCATTATTGTTGTCTTCGACTATAATATTATTGTCTTCAACCGTAATATTACTGTCTCAAGCAATAATATCACTGTTTGGGACAGTAGTATTAGTAATATTACAGTTCGGGAAAATAATATTCATAATATTACTGTCCGAAACAGTAATATTATTGTCTGAAACAATATAATATTACTGTATGAGACAATAATTTAGTAGGCAAGTTAGTAATATTAATAAAAATATTTTTTTCTAAGAATTATTTTTTCAAAAACGAAAAAGAAAAAAAAAACGCCGGAGAGCGGCGGTTAACTTCGATTGACCGTCTGGAAAATAAAATTCAGAAAAAAAAAGTTTTCAAAAAAAAAAAGTCAATGCCGGACACCGCCCGCCCGGTCAACGCCGGAATCCGGTCGGAAAAAAAAATTATTTTCTAAAAAAAATATTTTTTTAAAAAATTATTAAAATGGGGGTTAATTTGATATATTTGTTTAAATTCGGGGTCAATGTGTAATATTAAGGAAGTTAGAGTATAATGGATGAAATTGATAAAATATGGAGGGTATTTTAGAGTAAAGACGTGGTGATGAGTTTATTTGAAAGATTGTTGTTTATGTGGACCAATGTGCATTTAAGTCTCTTGTCATGGCCCTAATTATTAATTATTATTAATTGTTACTTAAGTTTTAGTTATAGGGGTTTTATGTAATTTCACTTATAAGGTAGGTATCGTACTTTTTTTATGGGGTTCGTACAAATCATACTTGTCACATTTTTATTGGTTGATTTTCAATCGTTTGGGTCCGAGTAGTACAATCCCTCTCGGACCCTAGACAACCCCAAGTATTGTTGTTTTCTCCGGTCCCATTTCGCCGTTCGAATTTTGGGATTAACGAAAAAGCAAGTGATTAATTACAGTTTAAATCACTAATTAACCCCACGTGGTTCTGTTCATTAGGAATATTCAGTGAATGTGGTGCAAAAACCACTATTACATGTTTGTTTTGCTGATAAAAAAGAACTGAGTTTTACATTTAACAAACTTTTTGTCTAGTGTATAAGTTCAATTAATGCAGATGATCCATATTATTACAATAAATAATATGTGCCGAATTATTAATTTAATTTTTTTGAATAATTATATAATATAGATAACAAAGTTAAATTATTATTTAAAATTGAAAAAAATAATAAACGTTTTTCTCCCAATACACCTCCCTCACAAAAACTTGGGAATTCATTAATAAGCCTACCCAAAAAAAAAAAGTCAACCTACTCCCCCATTCTTCAGTCAAACTTAATTAAAAGCTTAGACAAGATTACGTGGCTTTGGCATGCAACTTATGATAAAATGGGAAAGAAAGTTATTATTAATATATATGTGGATGCAGCATTTTACTCGACATTGATTATTATTTAATTGAATTAAAGTCCACTTAAGCTCGGTTCAATTAATAAACAAACCCGATATCGAATTGCACAAAAATCACCGATAAATCTCTGATCTCGTTCAATAACTTACAAACTACATGAAATACCCAACACGAAATATGTCCGATAAAATCGATTTAGAAAGCGTTCGACTCCACGACTCTTGCTCCACGAATTAAAACATTAAATCACCTTTTTTTCTTTTATAAAATCAATTAAATCACATTTCCCATCTCATTTATCCTCCAAGTATTTTTTTATTATTTATATATTAAATTGTTGCTTATCTAACTTAATTGGATGGTCAGAAATTGACCTCTTCATCATAATTCATAAGACAACACTTTCAATAATTACTATTTTACCCCTACGTCTACGTGGACCTCTCTACCCTAAGTATTTCGGCCCACCTATTTTTACCTAATGAGTCCACGTGTGCATGAACCAGGTTGACCCTAGTCCACTATTTTGACAAATAATCGTATTTTTTATTTTTGTTTTATTTTTTTAATATTATTAATAATGACAAAATAATGGCACTTAGCCAAACCCAAGATCTCATCCTTATCGCTTTCATACCATCTTAATCACGACAAATTGCACGGAACTACTATATGATTATTACATCTATTAAATATTTAATATATTCAACTCAAAATCACTTACTATTATTGAATTAATTTTAAATTAATGATTCTAGTGATAAAAACTATTTTTCATTGATTTGTTCAAGAAATAATTTAATTGGTAGGTATTTTTTTTCTGATTTTTCTATTGGCCCAATTTAATTTACGAGTTCAAAGTCACAAAGACGTGCTTTGACCATATTGCTTAAATTGTACATGCTAACAAATTATTTTTTTTATTTTATTTAATTATTTGTGTGGCCTGAATTTGAAAATACGTTCAAGTAATAAATAGTAAGTAAGAAATAAATAAATAAATGTAAGGCAAATTTATTCATCAATTTACTTAGTCAACTTTATATTATTCAACGCGTTGACCATCGAGCATCTTTAAAGTTCGTGAAGTTGTTAACATATTTGATTGTTGAAAAATAGTGAAAAGTTGTCGAAATAGGACTATTATTTCTATTTTAATCTATATATATAGAAATACTAGAAAATTTGATAATCCAATTCCTAAATCGATGACGTCTAAAATATGTCATAAAATGGAAAAATACCATCATGCGAATAAGTTAAAAAATAGTAGCGCAATCTAAGACATTCTAATGTCATTTTTGTAATTAATTTTAATTTTGTTATCTCAAATTTCGTTGTCCATTATCTTTTCAATTATTTTCATAGCTAATCCTCAAATATCTTCTTTTATTTATTTATTTTCATAGCAAATCTAACTGATTATTATTCAATCCCAATCCACTATTAAAATCAACACACAGTAACCTCTAGCAATTATAGCTCCAGTCTTTCGGCCATTATATCTAATTTTGCAATTTATTTTAGTTAATATTATTTTTAATTTTATTAGTTTCTTTTATTTTTTTATTATTAATTGCTTCATTTATTTAACACTGATTTTCATTTTATGAAAATTAAATCTATCTAATATTTTGACAAATTGGTTTGTATATCACTAATAATTTTTTTTTATTGATATGCTTAATTGGAACGTCTAATGGACCTACGATTTATTAATCAACTGGGACACGAGCCTATTTAGAAAACCACAACAACGAAAGTCCGAACACCTTCAAATAAGATTTGGCCCAACAAAATAACTCAAATCCAATCAACGAGGATTTATACTTATTTGTTAAGATACGTTCTGATTTTCAACCAATTCACCGGCAACTACATCTACTATGTCATCGGAGGGGTTTCAATGATCCACTTTGCTCTTCCAGCTCACCATACTCCAACTATTTTAGTTGATCTAATTCTAGCATCATTAATTATAAAATGTTATATTTATTTATTAATCAAAATAGACGTATATTAAATCAATCATTTATGTTTAAAATAAAATACTATGTATTATTGAAATAATTAGCAAGTATGATGTCTCAAGCCCTCAAGTTGATAGACATCGGAACTTGTAATATTAAATATGTTGTGTGAATTTGGACAATTATTACCTTTTTGATGGGCAACTTGGGCTACAAGTTTCCATGACCTTAAACCCCAAAGCCCACTTGCTAATAATCACTGCACCTCTGCACAAATTGATCAACCCAAAACCCATTATTAAAAAAAAAAAAAAAAAAAAAAAGTAATTCATTTTTTCTTTTTATATTAAATCAAGAAAAGAAATCTTTATAAGCGAGAAACTAGAATAAAAATATTAAAAGAAAAAAAAAACAAAAGGTGATGCTTTTGGCTATGTATTAGTAGTATTGATGATGCAAAGAACCCAAATCAAACATGATCAACTCTCTCTCTCCTCTCTCACTTTCTCTCTCTAAAAAACACAGAGAGAGAGAGAGACGCAAACAACAAATTAAACCGACATTCCCTAGGTGGTTCGAAAGGTCAAGTTCATGTAATGGTGCCGTAATCTGGTCAACAGTGTGAACATTTTCAGTCGGCTACTCCTCTTTGCCCATGTTTTTTTTTTTTTTCTTATTATTCTAACTCTCTATTTAATGTTACTAGTAAAAAAAATCAGTAATCACTAAAATTATTTAAATCCAATAAATAAAACCTTAAATCAAAATGTATACTTAATAACCACATTTTGAGGTCTGTTGTTTTGGCGGCGTTTTTACACAGTTAATTTATTTATTTACCCTCCCAAATAAATAAATAATATATATAAATAAAAATAAAAAGGTAAAAGGAGAGGTCTACTTCATAAATAAATTGCTGAAAGATTTCATTCATCACGGTTGCTATCATTTTCTTGAACTCTGTCCGGAATTGATCAACCTCCTTTCTCTCTCCTCTTTCTCTCTCTCTCTGCAAAATCTTTGAAATAAAAATTGGGATTTTTTTTATTTATTGAATTTCCGAGAGAGATTATCTGAATAATTTCCTATCAGTTTTTTCGGTATATGTGCTTTTCAACGGTGGCGAATCGACGTGACACCGGCGACTATGCCAGATTCCCGGCGACTACTGGAAATAGGGAAACCACCACCACATCCGCCGCCGCCACCACCTCAACCACCGCCACCCCTTACTTCCACGTCCAGCACCAAGATCAACCTGATTACCTTCTATCGGCGGTGGTGTTAGGGCACGGCCACCAGGCACAGGACATGTCGGCGATGGTGACGGCGCTGACACACGTGGTTTCCGGCCAGCGGCACGGCGGGCAGGCGAGCAGCGCCGTCGCGCCGTCGTTTGCTCCCGTGGACTCCCCTTCCTCCGCGTATTCATCATCCAGCTCCGGCTCGTGGCCCGGTCAGAAGCGGCGGCGCGACCAGGACGACTGCTCAACGCCGTTCTCCGATCAAACGCAGAGGGCGTACCGCGGCTTCGTAGATTCTCCTTCTTCCATTAAATCCGGTAGTTCTGATCAGAATGCCGATCCTCTGTTTTTTTTAATTTGTCTGTATTTTTCAAAAACACTATATGTATATAGATTTTTCAATCAAGATAAACATATGTATTATTCTCTCTCTCCCTATATATATATATATATATATATATATATATATATATATATATATATATATATATATATATATATATATATATATATATATAATATATATATATATATATATATGATGCATGCGTTAGCAAGTTTATCTAATTAACTTCGTCTTTGTAAAAGATTGTCAACTTCTTTTTAAGATATTTATTCAGGTCAAATTAAAATTCCAATTTGCATTTTTTTTAATTATTATTAATT